TTACGTTGACATCGTATCATTGCCAATAATCACCCATTTTCTAGTGATAGTGAATAATGTATCTACGGTGGTCATAGGATAAACAGCATGAGTGTGGTATTTGTACCAACTGATAATTATTACGTACTCTATTTCGTGGCTAATCCAAATTTCATGTATAGTACGTTTAGTCGTGCTCATAGAATTATATCTACCTTAGATTAAAGTATTCTGGAAATTCTCAGTTAGTATATCAATTCAACTACTTCCAATGATTATAAAGAGGTTAAATAGTGTTGCCACGTCTGTATGGCCGAGCCATGCTGTATCAAACAAATGTTCCAGCGTCCACATTTTGATCTCCAAGCATTTGGTGGTTATTGTGTATCTTCTTAGTTATTGTACGTTCAGCTCCAAGAATCAAGTTGTGAGGGACCAGTGCTACTAAAGAGTTACAACTTGACGTAAACATAATTTGTCATTATGTGTTTCCTTTTTGGTTCGGATAGTAGACTGTTCCGACCATTCTATTGGTTTATGCTGCATCAACAGTAGATAGTCAATGTTATTAAGTATTATGGACTTCATGACGTGGTCCAGCCATATAAATCAATTTGTAAACATAACATCTGTTAGTTGCCGAGTGTTGTTTATATCAACACCACATAATCTCACTGACCTTATATGACGAACTGAAATATTAAAAAAGAACATATTTTTCCGATTAAATTTCAAACTTTGACTATGTGGGAAAATAATTATAGTTCATATAGTGCCAATTAAGCGTCAGTGATCTGAACGCATAAATTAAGTTATCTTGGGTCATAGTTTCACAATGGAATGATTGAGAAGCCGGAGACAAGTCGACATAGCGACTAGGCTCTTAGTGTCCACACACGACAAATGGAGTCGTTACACATGAATGATTTATTTGGTTATGAAAAGAGTCGAGGAGTGAAAGTTGCAATGATGGCCAACTGCAACATATACTAGTATACTGAGCAGTTCACACCAGTCGTCCTCAACCTTGAAGTTCGGTAAATGATTAAACATGCACTGACCATTCCCCAAACGTAAAAATAAATTCAACATGATGTATGGTTTGACTAGGGTTTGTGGTGGATCCCAGCGAAAATCACTGAATCTGCATGTCACAATAGGTTTGTAGCGGTAAATAAATCCCCCAAATAAATAGTTATGCAAGGTTTCGACATTGGATGCTGATCACATTAGTTTTAATGGACTCACATAGCTGAAGGCGAGTAGAAAAGCCAAGAACGAACAAAATACCCGTGGCATACAGGTTTTTACACCGCGTCATCAACACTTGGAACCTGCTGTCTGAAGCAGTGGTGTCCGCACCTTCAATTGACTCGTTGAGAGAAGACTGGACACTCACAGAAGCATACTAAAATTGGAATAACATAAGCCGTAGGCCTTCTGTCCTTACCACACAAATTTGAATCTGAATCTGATCATTCATCCGCACCAGATCACGAGTGGGAACGCCGTGCTCAACAAACCCTGCAATCGCTAGTCAGCCCAGATCAGTCGATCCTCGATATCAAATATATCTTCGAACCTCCTCGCTTCTGTATTTTGATTTCACTTGGTGGATACGATTCATATAAGAAGGTGTTACTGGTCAAAGCGTCGTCAAACACCGAATACCTGTGGCCTCTTCAGGTTCAATTATACTTCAGTAACCACAGCATTGTATTAATCCTGAATTGGCTTCTGGACCATGAAACTCGACAGAACCGAGCCATGAACAATTCATTGTAACCTGTTAGTTTAACACAGTCGCTAATCAAGAAACATGCATTTTCTGACGAATCGGGTATTTAACTGAGTCTCTTACTCTGTTAAAATCAACAAAGTCAGTATCAGTCGTGAATGTTCACTGAGCAGTTGACTATTTTGGGTTACATAGTACTACAAACCCTACCAAAGTTGGTTTGTCAGGAAAATATTGAATCAATTCGACGACTAGTAAATACGAGTCTTAGGGTTTTCGTAATGCCGAATTTAATGACACACAAGTAAACGAACGGTATTCAAAGGTAACAATAAACAATAAATATTGTTCTCTGAAAGAGAGGCTCATACTAAGTCGCGAGACGTCGGAAATTTAAACTTCACACTGCGATATTGCAAATATATAAAGATACAGCAAATGCTGGGATGTGCACAAAATGCCAATTTCTTATGGCTTTAAAGAGAAGTGATCGTTACTTATTTGTCGAATAATAAAAGCTTCTCAGTAACCAGTTCTAGGAAGTATGTTTTCATAAAACGTCAAATGAGAATTTCAAATCTTATCGTACTGATTGCTTAGTTACTAATAGCGACGACTGCCAAATACGACCCTTCCTATTATAGTCAGCTTTATATAAGACAAGATGAATTTGACATTATAAATTTCTGCAACGTAAAACATACAGAGGATGCTGAAAAATAAAATGATTAAGTCAGGTAGGAAACTATGAAATAAGTCTCTATGGACTACTGGACGGTTTCATGGCTTGATAGCTTCAAGCCTCTCACTTATAGTAGGTTACTGAACTGGGAGTGTTAGAAATAAATTACTACGTTTAAGTGATCTGAGTGTAAAATACTTTTTCAAGGTCGTTAGGAGCCTAAACAAAATTATGACTGCGTAGGGGTTTTCGATTGCCCTTAAGTTCAAGTGCTTAAAACAAAGTCAAAAGATGTACTTTTACTGTCGCTTTTTATCTAATATATTTTTCAACATTATTTGCAACGGGAATTAGTGTAATTGATGCCAATTAAAAGTGGTATACAACAATGCATTTTAAGTGTTCAGTTTATAGTGAGTACTCCATGTGACCCTGATAGAGACACTTTACTTGAGTTTCGCCATTCACTTTTCAATGAAATCTGTGAATTATCACGCATCAAAGAGCGAACCTAAACTAGTCTAGGTTACTTTTCAAACCTATCAGTAACGCTCTTCTGAACGATGTAACTTCAGCCTCTTCTTTAGAAATTTTCAAGACAAGGCTTAAAAACCATGTCAACACCTGCGCTTAACATTTATTGCCTTGAATGGCTGTTACCTACCTGCTTTGATGGTGACCAAGGCTTTTTCGCGTACTAGTTATGCTTGCCGCATGTCACGCGATTTATCTATTGTTATTACTATTATTATCTTTCTACATCTTCCTTTATTGTTTATCACCTCCGTTTAATTTTCATTTGGTTCTGCATGTAGTTGCTTGCTTTTTGCACAATCAGTTAAGAAATTTATTTCAAACTTGTGTACTACCTCTAGCAGTATTCTACTTTTAAAATACTTCATAATACAACTCACTTGTTGGCTTCTCTATAACAAGGTAACTCCTGGTTTTACCAAACCCACTGCCATTGAGCAGATGCATCCATTTACAATGAAGATAGACTAGCCTTCAAATAAGTCTTATTTAATGGGATTAGTGCAGATGATTGACTAGACTACCTACGTTGGTCAGTACACGAAACAAAGAATATTACCTTGGCACTAAAACGCAAACGCTAGTAAGATAAAAGACCTACATTAACTTTTCACGAAAATATTATATACTAGAACAAGAAAAATTCGAGCTATAGTCGAAGTTCTAGCACTCGTGCGTACATTTTGTTGATGACTACTCCGATAAATAAAAGAGAGTTTCAGGTAAAATGAGGGAATTTTATATATGTTGAGCAGGTGAGTAAATATCTACTAAACCTTGGGTAATAGCACTTTGATCCCTGCATCTGTGACCGAGAAATTTTCCGAGTGATAGAGACTTATGAAACTCCTCATTGTCGTCTTAGTTATTTCTGGAGATATTTTAAACATAACCAGGAATATGAATAATTTTTGGAGTAATCTATGAATTTTGTGATTGACTTTAAGCTAAGTAAAATTTTCTCCATTTAGACCAATTTATGAAGTAGGAGAGAAAAGAGCTGTTGTACCTGGTGTCAACGTATCTCTAGAGTTATTCCTTACAAACGTAAATCCAAACAAATTAAGCTTTGATTTACGTCTAGTATTTTCTACCAATAGATCTTGTAAGCGGAGGTTAGAACGTCCAGCAACCCTATATGTTATTTTCCAAGTTTACATTAAAAGTAACAACCGACACAGTTTTGTTGATTTTGTTACTATCAGTTCCAAAATACTCTATGACACTACATCTTGTCTTTAAGTCTATCATTTTGGCTAGCCAAAAATCTCTGTTCCAACTTAGTGGGCCACATGTAGATGTAAACAACACTAACATAGAGTTATCAGAGTAAAGCATGCAGACAAATAACTTTGCTGCTGTTGCATGTTTACTCAAGATAGTGTAAAATGTAAAGACGCACAAATTTGAATCCCCTAACTTCAATGCTTCTATGTAAAAGAATTGATGACTTTAATCTACCAAATGATTAACTCAGTAGTGCATTTCATAAATCACCTTAAAAATCAATGTATTTGGTATTGAATCATGTGTATTATGAGAGTAATTAATTAATTAAATCAATCTAATTAGTGCTTAACGCTTCAAAAGAATTATTGCTTGTGAAACGTTTCTGATGTGTAACTACTTAAGATCCTATCCCAATGTATACATACATAATTTTTAATGAACTGTCAAAAGTAGGAACAACACGAGTTCTAGCGTAGTCACCAAAAAACTTCATTTTGTATTCTTTCTTTAGACTGGTGTTTTCCAAAATATTCAATTTGGGTTATAAATAAGTCTTATTGAGAGGCTTTTTTCAATAATTAACAACAACTTGATAGTTACTTGTTTATAATTGTCCAATGACTTTGAAAATGTTTGTTGAATCATACGGTGATGAAGTTTCTCGTGTATTTACATTGGAGAAAAGTCAAAGTCGATCAATTAGCTCATTATTTGATCTACACTTATCATGGGTGACTTTTAAGGTTTATCAAATGAAAAATTTCACAAAATTTAATTTTAGAAGTTTTTTCTTCCCGTTGGATATCCATCTAGTGTTAGCAATGATTATTTAGAATATCAAATTTGGGATACTATACAGGTAGGTGATTTTTCCGTTGGTAAAGTTTCATTATTTAGTGTACCGTTATGACAATCGGGTTCTTTAAGTCTACAACATCTCTTTAGGATACGTACTCGGCTTTCGAGAAGTACTATTGTATCGTGGATTTGAACACTTCTTTAACTAATACGAGTCCTTAACTTATTTACAAAGCATATATATTTACATACTTGGCTTTTAACTACGTTCGTTGTTGGTTTATTGATACAATCTGTCTGCCAAAACTTGAGTTGGTGTGACGTTCGGTGTTAGGTGGTTGTAGGTGGATAGTCAATATGATACTCTAGAAATAAATTTCTCCCTAGTTGACACTGGTTATCATGGTGTTCCTGTAATCCAGTCGTTTTAATAGCCCTCACATAAATATTATGACTGCAAGCCAAATACATAATTCAGGTGTTGAGGAATGGGTATCAGCAAGACACAAAAGACTTTTCTTCTGAATGGTGATTCGGATGTTGTCGTGTATAATAAAGTTTGTACCGAAGTAAATGTTTTCATTCACGGTGGCTGCGTTGAATTTTTATCAGTTATGCACTGTATAAAGTATTAAGGTTTATTTCTAAGCAATAACGTCATCATATGGTGGTTGGAGGTAGTCAACAGGAAGCTCTGAACCCAGGTTTCGTGTTACTTGGCATTTGTCAGCAATGTGTACCAGTAATCTTGAAGGAACTGATGCTACCTGACGGATTAGATTCTGTGTCACCCAGCCTCACAGTCAAAGACGATATAGAAAATATCCAAGGTTAAAACATCGCCGCTGTATATCGCGAACTGACTGAAGCTGAGATTGTACCATTTTACCTAGTGATTCTAATGGTTAAAGGTTCACTTCAATACCCGAATATCCTAAGCTCGATTTCAAGTAAAGTCGTAGGTGTATACTGTCAAATAATTCCATACTAAAATGAACATCTATCCAGTGCTTAATGGTTATCCCAACTGAGATAAATCCGTCATGAATACTGTCCATATTCTATATCGTTAATATGACTTCCTTTTTTATTTTATACAGGCATTTGCCAGCAGTATCACTGGTGCTCTTGCATCACAAGCGGTTTTAATCGGTGTAGGTGTTGGGAACTCATCAGCTACCATATTAAGTGCTAGTCTAACGTGGATGTTTAAAGGTGTTGTTCATTTGATTATTTTAAAATATTTTATAAAATTTAATTTTTTTATTGATGGTTTTGTTGTGTAACTTCGTAACTTTCAATTTCTCAATAAAACTTTGTGAACAATACAAATTGAAGCTTGTCAGTGAAATTGTGAAAAAGTATCAATGTACACTCCGGCCGTAGTCTGATCAACCCTAATGGGTTGGTGCCTGACGAAATTTCAACACGGATTCGAAAACCTCGTATGGATTTTGCCAACTTACGTACCCTATGGCGAAGGCGAGATACCCGTCTATCATTTAAGGGACGAGTATACTGCACGACAGTTTGTTCTGTTTCACTTTACGGCTGAGAAACATGGCCTTTAAGAGTAGAAGATATTCGTAAGTTACTAGTATTTGGCCACAGATGCCTTAGAAACATTGCTCGCATCTGCTGGGATTACCGGGTAAGCAATAGTGAGGTTAGACGCAGGGTATTAGGGAATGATGGTAAATCAGTTGGTGAGGTTGTGTATCTTCATCGACTGAGATGGTTGGGCCACGTGTTACGTATACTTGAACACTGATTACGATGACGCGCAATGTTGTCTATTGTTGGGAATGGTTGGAAGTGAGAAACGGCCAAACCAAGACGTAGCATTAGTGCTTGAAGTCACTAAATTCTTGTCTGAGCTATATTGGTAGATGCAGATTACTTGGTTGGGGTGTGCGTGACTATCGTAATCAATGGTTGGAGACTTTGGGTTAAATGGCTCAGAATCGATCACAATGGCGTCGGTGTATATACTGTCTATCTCCACTTAAATTATGAGATTAAAATCGCTTCATATCTTTCTTTTTACGAACTAATCCCTTCTTCCCATACTATATCCTTATATGCTATCTTTCTTTTATATATTACCACCATTGACTTAACTACTTCTATGAATACGGTGTTCATCTTGTTGTGTTAATTATGTATGGCAACTTGGACCGATGCATGTATGTGCCTGATCCTACGTTGTAGCTGACTGACTAACTAACTGACTTAGAATACGCAAATGATATAGTTTTGTTTGGTGAGGACGCTGACAAAATACAGTCTTCTGATCAACAATGCAAGCATCCGTTTCTTTCTCCTTAGATGTAAAATTTTACTTCAAGATTGGCTTGTGTCATCGATTGAATTAGTGATAGGAAATGAAGTAATTGAACGCATCGACCGCTTAACCTATCTTGTGTATCATTAGTTCTAATGGGTTGGTGTCTGACGGAATCTCGGCACAGATTCAGAAGGCTATATTGGCCTTTGCCAACCCGCCTCACTTGTGGAGCAGGCAAAGATGGATAGTGGCTAGCAGTTAAATCCAGTTTGGCGCGCGTTTCTTCCTATTTGGGACTCATCGGCTGCATGTACTTGCATCTCAGAGTTAATGCTCATTCTGGGACTCAAACCCAGTATCATTCGCTTCAAACATATACCAACACGAAAGTGATCAATTGCAGTCCTAAATAACAATGGGAAGATACAAGTAAATAACACCAATAGAATATGGTTTCACCCCATTACACAAGCAGGTAGCTGTCAGAATTCACTAGCTAAGTGAATAACGCGATGGCGTTTGAAGTGAACGGTACTGGGTTCGTGTCCCAGAGTGAACATCAACTCTGAGATGCAAGTACATCTAGCTGACGAGTCGCAAATAGGGCGAAACACGCGTCCTAGACTTCACCGCTAGCCATTATCCATCTTTCCAGTGATCTATAGTTGTGTGAACTCTATATTAATACTATCCTCTTTTTTTCAACTCACAATATGAAACATCCCTATACTTATTTGACGTCTTCATTACTTATCATCTAGTACTTGAATATGTCTTAAATTAACAAGACTTTCTGAATAAAATATAAAGTGATACCTAAATAAGATGATAAATCGAAATAAATTAGCGTTCATATCAACATTTTCTTTTAGGGTAACTGATAAATATTTTAATTTTAATGTTCTACCTAAACAGTATGATTTTATGTTTTTCGGTAAACTATATATGTAAACCATTTTCTCAACTATAATTGTGAATTCGTTGATAGTTATATATTATGTTATTATTTAATGTTTTACTATTTCTAAAATTTTCTTTATTATGTGACAGTCTACTACTACTCCATATATTGGAGTATATCACTTTAAATATAATGAATATCAAGGTATAATAGTAGAATATTTAAGAAAACTGTTTCTATGGAATGACATCATATTTTATTAGCGAACATCGTGAATTACTTTGGAAGATTGGCTTATATCCTACAAAAACCCAGTCCATCAAATCCGAAAGATAGCTCAAAACAGATGTATATAGGATAGGTTACATGCCTAAACAAACACTTTTAGCTGATGTAATCCATCAATACTAACAAGGTTGAGCACTTATAAAGCTTTTATACTATTGGGAATTGTATACGACTAAATTAATACAGGATTGGGAAATAAGTTAAGTTTTTTGTCCAATGAATACACGAACTAAAATTATGAAATATTTATTTCCTAAACTTGAGTAAATCATTCATCTTTCTCCATTATCTCATAATACTAAGCATTTAAATGAATACACTTGTTTATATGTTTAAAGTATTCTCAAACTCCTCAATAGTAAGCCAATTAAAGGGACTTCTTTGTTTTACATAGTATTTTCAAACTGAAATGCTTGGCTGTAATCGTATACTCAGACAGTTTTGCTGAATTTTGATGGAGTTTTTGTTCTCTGAGCTGGGTGGTTTGGTCGTGGAGCTTTCATCGTTCTTCTGAACGACATCATCAGCACAAACTTCAGATAGAAGTGAAGTGTTTGCTGAAGTTTTGCTGAATTTAGTTTATCAGCAATAGTCTGAACAATAAATCGTCAATCAGAACTAACATGTGATCGAATATGTTCGATGTTTTTATCAAAACATAAGATTAGCGGTTGTTATATTTTTCCATCATCTTTGCAGTCATTACAATCATCATTTGAATTGTTGGTCTTCTTGAAAAGAAATGTTTTTGTTCATAGGTTATCTACAAAAGAACTTCAACATTCTATGAGTTTCATTAAAACTCTTAGTTGTTTGGTCTGGATAATCGTCAACTATAAAGGTTAAAAGAAAGAATGATTATACTTAGTTAAAATGTACTGTGATTTGTGAAGTTTACTAATGATATTATTATTATTGTTCATTTTTGATTTTCTAGATGGTTCAGGTATGATTGGAAGAATTATATTTGCTGGTTATCATGGGTAGTGATCGATTGATTTTTTTACTGAACTAAATAATACTACTTATTATCTTGTAGAATTAAATTAGACTGTGATTGCAAATTTTGGAGGTAAGCAGTTATGTTATGAACACTATTTGATATTTAACTCACTCATGTACACACTAGTGACTAGATTCAAGAGGAAATTCTTGGAGTTCTAGTGAGAAACCGTGATTAGTGGAGTTCGACGATGTCTGTTATGCGGGAGTTACTCATCGATGACAGTTGGAGCTAGTGGCGTAATATCGTGAATTGATTGAAGTTAAACATTAATACTGCTGAACGTCGACTCAGTGGTCTGGAGGTTTAGTGTTCACGATCAAGTTTGAAGGTTTTTGTGTTCAAGTCCCACGTACGGGATTGTGAGTGGGCATCGTTGAGGAGTCCTGTACTAGAACTAAACGGCCGTCCAGTGTCCCCAGATTTTCAGTGGGTGATCTAACATTGACCGTATCATGATCCCAATAATATGAATTACCTTCCTAGTATATGTATTGATAATTTCGAAACATAATTATGTACTTTAAATTAGTAGATGATTAATTCAATCGAATTTCAACTAAAGTAATGATAATTCTAAACTTCAAAGCATATTTGACTAGTCGGCCGACATAGATCTAACATAATGACGATCTACCTATCGATTCACCAAGTAATTGTGTTCTGGCATGATGAGGGTGCGAAACCACTCTCTACAATAGGAATATGTAAGTCAACTGACATTAGGGATATACGTTAAATTGTGTGAATTTACGGGGTTAAAAGTAGAAAATGTTTTGACTATTCAGCTGTGTATAGTATCTAACTGTGTTGATTACAATACTCAACTTTTAAGCATTACGTCTCAGGTTCGATACCCACTCTGTTTGATTCAGTTTAAGCAACTGCATCGTATCACCCAGCTTTCACACAGAACAATGCTTAAATGCTAGGTAGTTTAGTTACGTCAAACTACCAAACTGTTTTAAAGTCGTCTATTATAACATCTAACAGTGACATATACCTGTTATATATTTAGTGTTTATCAATCAAAGATTGGTTATTTGAAAAAGATGGTCGATGTTAACCTCACTTTTTATTATTCATCAGTGTGGCTTGAAGTAGTTATCATTCTTAGTTATTCATTTTTTATTTTACTTTTCTATAGATTTGTTGCTGATATCTTAAACGATTGTGCTTTATTCCTTGAACTAATTTCTCCACTATTCAATCATATGTTCACACCGTTACTTTGTCTTGCTAATGTACTTAAGGTAATTCATATTTATTCATATTGGTTTGGATGTATTCTGTTGTCTACCCTATCCCTTTGTTGCTAAGTTTTCTGTTCTTTGAATAGTTCATAGAGGGTTAAACCTTATTTTTAATTTTTGGGTCGCACTATGAATTTCGATGGTTCCATTTATTATTTTCGGATGTTGTGGATATTGTTAAATGTTTCGGTATTACACTACGGGTTCACCTTAGAGGACCATTCAAAATCAAAAGTCACTGGTTTCGTTTTTTGGTACGAATTTCATCTTTACACTCCCTTAGCCCCACAAGGTATCAAACCTATCACCTTCAGGCCTCTCTGTGACTCCTTCACATTCAGACTACTGAGTTTTTATCCAATGATTTCCATTTCTAACTCCATTGAATTTGTGATACACTACTACCGTCATCCGTTTTGACTTACTTCGGTTTGGGCGCCCAGGCAGTATTTAAGCCCTCACACAAGTCGAATGATGAAGTGTGGTGCACATATATCTGGTGCCTCCTTGTACCAATGTTTATGTGTTTAAATTAATAAACAAATATCTGTTTCTACTAGTGGCGCTTGTCTGAATGCTGACATGACTAATATTCTCTGCTTACATATTTTCACCAGAAATCGAGAAGTAACCGCTCGAAGTTAGTCCTTTTTTTTAAGCCCGTGGGTTGATTGAAGTCAGAAGTGTAATTTATCAAATGCCAATGTTAAGAGCTCAGAAAGTGACCTAAAGCTCCTGATTCCAACCCTAAGTGAATTCGTGAATGTGCGTTCCTATAGAGCATCACAGTACGACAAAACAGCCGTTCAGTGTTTCCTGGTCTTCACTAAACACAAGCTACCCATAATCGCGTTTTGAATTTTGCACAAAAATCAAATAACCGTTATCTTAAATCTGATTGGTTCGCCTGAAGTGTATGCTGTTACTCAATGATTATCTCCCACCAATTCTTTCAGTAAACAGTAAAAATTTGAAGTTATTATTAGTCCATGTTTATATGGAACTTCAAAAATACCGTGTTCAGCTCACATTTTATTCCTAACTATAACTCCTGACTCCAAATGGTCAACTCTCAACTCCAAGTCAAGACTCAAATTCCTAACTCTGACTTTTTTGAGTTTTTATGTTGCCAATTAATTGTTCATATCACTTGAACTCTGGTTGACTGAAGATTAACTGTACTTTCTCGAGGCTGCCCCATGGCTCGCTTAAGGTCATCAGTGAAATATCTTTTCACCAACATCTGATATAGGATTTTTGTACTAATATTATAAAGTTGAAATTTTTGACCGCGAACCAACACCAACTGAAGGACTTGTTTTGTCCAATTTCACTGAGCTATACGGACATCGATCGACCTGTCGCGTTGAGAAACTTACACTGACTGCTCACTGAGCAGTAATCAATATTTTAGAATTCGATCAATACTAAGGACTAGGCGAACATGACATATGTTATTACTCAGTTACTAATTAATGCACACTTGGATCTTTTGTACGTCCATCAGTTCACACTGTTACTGAATCTCAAACTCAAATGAAATATCTATCCAGTAATATCTGATCTTGAATAGGTTTTCTTGACTTGGTGGAATCCTTCAGTTTATCTGTGTATATTACTATACATCAGCATTTTTCTTGTTTTAAATCACTTTGTATCCTGTGACATTACCTTATGAACCTTTACTGATTAATTGGAATAGTAGTAGCTTATGTGATTCCATCAGATTATTCGAATTATATCTATATTTATTTGTAATGAAGTTAAGGACAATCTAAATTCATCCTATTACGTTCAGTACTATATATCTCCAACAAATCATAAAGGTCATGATTTCAAATTCATCTTTTGTAACATGACTACTATAACACTGTCAATCTTATCTCCTTTCAGTTTCCAAGGATTACTTACTTACTTACTTGCGCCCGTTACTCCCAATGGAGCATAGACCACCAACCAGGAGTCTCTAATCCAACCTGTCCTGAGCCTTTCTTTTCTGTTCTGTCCAATTTTTGTTCATTTTTCTCATGTCTGTCTCCATTTCTCGACGTAATATGCTCTTTGATCTTCCTCTTTCCCTTTGACCTTCAGGATTCCATGTGAGGACTTGCATTGTGACACAGTTGGGTGCTTTCCTCAATGTGTATCCTATCCACTTCCAGCGCTTCTTCCTAATTTCTTCCTCCACTGGAGTCTGGTTTTTTCTCTTCCATAGTAGGTTGTTACTGATAATGTCTGGTCAACGGATCCGAAGTATTTTGCATAGGCAACTATTAATAAACACTTATATCTTCTGGATGATTGTTTTTGTAGTTCTCCAATTTTCAGCTCCATACAAGGATTATTCAACATAAATCGATTTATCATGAAAATGATCATTTCGTTGAAAATTCTTAGTTTAAATAAAAGTATTTAATTTAATTGGAAATTAGTTTATGGTTCACTGTATCCTACATTATAGGTTGAGAGTAAAAACACTTGATGGGTATATTAGATGTATATATGTATAGTATCGTTCATACTTGTAATTTTTTCATTATTTTTCTGAATTACTTAACCAGACACATATTTTAAAGATAGCTTGTATCACGAATTAGTTTCAACTGTGGATGATTGTTCAGCAGTATGAAGTTGACGCTCCCGGCTTAAATCTTGATGACCCAATATCTGATTATTAGCCAGACTATATGTTGAAGTTTGTAAAGAGGTCTTCCACTAGGTATTCAATGGTCCACATTTTAAATTAAGTCGGGAATATAAACTATCAAATTAAATTATCTTTACATACCAAATGTACACATACTTCATTTCTTTCAAAAAAGTCTTTAGTTGGTGTCGCTGGTAGTGCAACACGTGCAGCTATTGTTCAACATCAAGCGATCAATAATAATTTAGCTGATGTATCAGCTAAAGATGGTAGTCAGGTTAGTTTTATATTTTCCATATAGTTTTATTTTACTTACAACTCTATGAATTGTACTATTGTACTAGTTAAGATTAATCAAACTACCTTTCACTCAAAGCAATTCGTCGCTTTGCTAAAACAATTAGATGATGGAGTTAATCTGAATAGTGTAATATACGTAAGCTGTACATTTCCAACCATCTAGTTACACCTATACTTTTCAAGGCATTTTATACGGAAACATATAAACGTCAATTCCATAAAAAGTAACAATAAACAAAAAGTGATAATTGTATTGTGATGTATGCTACTTATATCGATGGACATAAGTAGTATGTAACACTAATCAGAAGTGGAAAACCTGGCAGCAGAAGACTAAAAAGATCGAGTCAATGAGAATAGAAGGAAAAAAAAGGAATTGTGAATTTGAAGAATCATGCAAAATATGAAGGACAAATGATGGAAATTTGCAAATGGAGTATTCAGTGTATGGTTTTCATATTTTAATAAAATACTCTGTAATTTTGTTCGTCACTTATCAGCGAGATGATTGTGTTAAGGTGACGCATCGACGAAATACTGGTCGTATATGATAGAGTTCGATACTGCTCAGTTATTAGATACATCCAATTGCCCACAGAATTATATAGTACTTATGAGGAAGAAAATAATGACCTGGATACACTTTTGAGCCAAGGGAAAGATGGGACTATAAAGAAGTTAGTTAGAAAGGTGACCTGAACTTTTCAGTATTTGCCTACAGTTTTTGTCCTCTGCAGCACAAACAAGGTTTGGTAAAGTTAGTTGTCAACAGAACTCAACGAATATGCATTACAGATGCATTTGAAGAAGACTCAAAACTGCCGACTGAAACAGTGATATTAAACGGTTACCCTCTGAACTTCATAGATCGATGTAATTCAGTCATTCTCTTTAACATTTAGAGGAAAGTCAAACAGCATAACTTTCAGGCAGACACTAGAAGTAGCCATAGAGCTGTCATTTAATTGATCTTCATATAAAATTCCTTGACAAGTACATGTGTGATCAGATTGTTAGGAATGCACAGCTTTAATACATTGTATTTTTCAGACCAACTTCTCATAGTTTTAGTTCATCTTGCGCAAGACCCATGAAGTAATACCATTCAATGAGCATTCATTTAATGAAATAAATTTTTTGTAGATACGCTAATGAAATGCATAAAACACCTTGAATGTATAGGGGGGGAGTTTGCTTCGGGATTTAGAAGTAGAATTAATGTAGTGTAAGTAGAAAATTGCATTTTGGTTAGAATTTTATATCCTTTATTCATACTAAACATTCAAGAATCCCGCCTCGCTGGATTCGAACACAGAACCTACCGGTCTCACGCGCGAACATTTAACCTCTACATCACTGAGCTGGTCGGCATCCAACAGTGTTAATGTCTAACTTCAACTAATCCACGAAATTCAGCGACATATCCATCATTATCTTCAGTGAGTTACTATCTCACAAGAGACCCGGTTAAACTCCATTAATCACTGTTTCTCACTAGAACTCCAGGATATACCTCTTGAAGCCAGTCACTAGTGAGCATATGTTGATTATAATCGGAGAGAGGTTTCGTGGATATTATAGTTACTTCAACGGTTGAAATCATGAGTCATGAATATATTTACAGATCAGTCCAATTCTTTTATGTAATATCACATAGACAAAAGTTTATTTTGTTAAGATTATTTACTTTTTGTTCATATAGGAAACCTTATCTAATTTGTTGGCATGGTTACTTAATTTTATTTTGTTATATATGGTGACCGGTAATCAATTGTAAGTGATATTATAAATTTGCTTCTATCATTTGTTTATTTAATATGAATATCTACATATAGACATAAATTTATGATTGTTCAATTTTTAAAATCTTATGCAGTACTTGTTACTATTGATGATATTTGTCTGAGGTCCGACATGACTAAACTTGACTGACTACAGTTCCTCCCTAGAACCTAGGTTACTTTATGATGTAATACTACGAAACAGGTTATCCATTTATTTTAAATCATCATAATTGAATAGCAATAAAATCAGATGATAATAAGACCGAATTTTTCATCGCAAGCTAACATTATCTCAAAAATCAAGTAGTTCTAAAGATGTGTAGCTAGTGAATGTTAGGAGTGGTTGGCCACCTAACATGGACAGATAGACATCCAGCTTCTGAATATTTAATGTGTAGTTTCCTTATTTATTTATTTGAACACATAAATATTGGTACAACGAGACACCAAATAAATATCCGTCACAATTCACTTGATTTGTGTGTGGGCTGTGATACTGCCTGGGTATGCAAACCGAAACAGGTGGTTTTCTTAGGGGGTCACACCTGGTGCCTTCGACCCAAAGGTCTGATCCACAAGGCAGTGGAGCGATGTTAGGAGATGCAATCCCATGGTAGCCGGTGACCAATAAGTGGTTCATACGCCCTTGTTCCCTTAGTATCCTGGAGCGCATATGTATCATTTGTTTGGAATCAGGGTTTTCGAAATTCTCTAGGTGGATCCTCCATATCCACCAACCCAGCGAACGCGCCAGACATTCGCTTTTCATCTCAATTTTGTAAACAAAACCCTCACTATGAAAAGATAGTGATTGGGAAAACCTCGGCATTGACTTTATACGCGTGGCAATGTGAGAGCATTTGTAGAGGGAGGGCTGACTCTCCCCACCCTCTACCGTACTAGGACATTTGGAGGTGTAACTTCCTTCCTATTATCGATTTCTGCTTTGGACTAACTAAGTGTAAACTGCTTGTTTCCTTATTTCTGTTCAAGAATCATGTATCTGTTGTATATCGTGATTCAAGTTTGTGTACAGCGTATTGATTGAATATCTAGTCTATGGTAGTAAAATCTCAGTTACCTATCGTATAATAGTAGTATATCGTGTCAAACAGAAAAAAATATTTTTATTCTATCATTATATCAACTAAATAACTGCTAGATTCTACTGTGAAATTTTAATAATTCATACATATGACATACGTTAGACTAAAACAATTCAAGTTTTTTTTATCTAACGAATAGGGTATCATATTGTGAAAATCCAACAGTCCATAATCTTCCATTTAAATGAACTAACAATACAATACGATTTTTATTTCATCGCAAATGTATTCTGAAATTAAATAATATAACGTAAAGCTATTTTCTTTACTTTTTGATAAAGTTTTGTTCTTTGAACTGGATAACTTGGTCGTGGAGCTTTCATCATTCTTCTGAACGACATCATCATCATCATAAACTTCAGATAGAAGTGAAGTGTTCGAATTTCTCCACATGTTGTTCACAGCTTGTTCTGTACACCTCGATGTTGATGGGTTCTTATTGACCTTAAACTTGTCATTGTTTACTTTATTGTTTTCGTTGTATCTCGCATTGGTTTGATTTTTGTTCCTATGTTTGTCTATAATTTTCCTGATTGATTGATAAATTGGATCGATTTCAATGGGATTGTTGATTGCTCATTGACCTGATTACCAAGCTTCTACAAATTATCTGGTGTTTTCAGAATTGTCCCTATCTAAAATCTCCACATTTTTCCAGTCGAATATATGTTCGCAGTTGTCTACATGCATGTACGTGGACATTCAACATCGGGGTGTACAGAACAAGCTGTGAACTACATGTGGAGAAATTCGAACACTTCACTTCTATCTGAAGTTTGTGTTGATGATGTCGTTCAGAGGAATGGTGGAAGCTCCACGACCAAACTATCCAGCTCAGATAACAAAACTCCACCAAAATCATCCATCTGAGTTACAAATCTTCTCCAGTATTTGATTTATTGTCAAACTTATGAAGATTATTAAAACTGTTAAAGTTAATTATGTGAGTTTTGCATAATAACTTCAGCCATCTTCATTCTTCTTATCAAAGATATTTGTGTATCTAAACTCATAAGACAAATTAAAATTAGTATTGAGCTCATTTTAAAGACTCTAACCCAGTAATCAATTTTCTTTGAGTAAGACTTTTTGTTTTCTTCATTCCGAGATTTAACGTCGATTTCAATCATTGAGTTAGAATCCATGAAAGGATTCAATAGATACTTAGAAGAATCTAGCATTACATAATTATGTTAAGCGTTATTGTGAATAATTCGATGAGACTATAATTTATGGATGAACCAATCAGGTATAAGTTAACAGGTCTCGGATTTTGGCGCGAAATTCATTCATCTATTTAGAGTTTTGATATTATAGATGATGTCAGTTCGTGATGATAAAACCCTAAATTTAATTCCTAACCCTTAACTATCAACTGTAAACCATAATTCCAACTCCTCACATTGATTTATAACCCTCATTTTGTCCTAGTTATTAGGTGAACACACTCGAGGTCACTTTAGCGTCGCTCAAAGGTCGCCCGAAAATTCTAGGTCTTATTAATAATTCTATTCCTAAGCAATTGTGAAATTCCAAAGTTACATAAATGCACTTGATGTTGTTTTACTTGAATTTTCCCATTGATGTTTAAGACTGCAATTGATCAGTCTCATATTGGCATATATGCATCCTGTGCGGATTCCCTCGATATAACCTTAAATTACAACCCAATATGAGACTGGTCCATTGCAGTCCTAAATAACAATTGAAAGATACAAGTAAAACAACACCAATAGAATATGGTTTCACTCCATTGCACAAGCAGGTGGCTGTCAGGATTCATTAGCAAAGTGAATAACGCAATGGCGTTTGAAGCAAACGGTACTGGGTTCGTGTCTCAGAGTGAACATCAATTCTGAGATGCAAGTACATCCAGCTGACGAGTCCCAAATAGGAAGAAACGCGCATCAAACTGGATTCCACTACTAGACACTATTTATCTTTGCTTAAAAAGTTACATACATGTTTAATGGTTACATTTGCTCAATTGTAAGTTGTTTTTTTAACCTTCAAATCCTTTTCACTGATTTCTTAATTATTTGATCTCTCTCTTTTGTTTCAGCTGTATTTGGTTCTGTTTTATTTGTTGTACTATTGTACATTTATATTCAAATTATTGTGCTGTAAAATGTTTGAAATTACGAACATTCAATCGTACACGTTTTCATTTAGCTATACAACAATGGTTTGAACAACAATTTTGTCATGTTTTAATGTCAAATAATAATAATAATAATATGAATAAAATACCTGAATATCTTTTAATGAATAAATCATTTCCAAATGTTATATGGGTTAATAAATGTGAACCTATTTTATATAAAACTGATCAACCTACAATTATAATGGGTTGTTCATTATATAAATTACCTATTGAAGGGTAAGTTTTCATTGTATATGGTTATTTTTCTTTACTTTAAAGTTTTACTTGGTGAAAAGTAGTGAGTAGAATATCCTAACTGAAAGTTTTGTTTTATATCTTAATCTACTGTAAAATATTAGGAAATAGCGTTTACATAATATAATTTCATCATTGGAGCGCTCCATATTTAGCTCTCAAATGCCTTAGTACGGCCGGGAGTGAGGAGAATCAGCTCTCCCTCTCAAAATGTTCTCACATGACCACGTGCGTACAAACACTGACAAGGAAGTCCTACTCAATACCTTCTCGCACCACGGGTGTTCTTAACGAAATTGAGAGGACAAAAAGCGAATGTCCGGCACTTTAACCGCATTCGTGAATACAGGAGATCCATCTAGGGGAGTTGGAAAACCCTGATTCCAAATCAATGGGACTTATGGGCTTCAGGATCCTGGAGGAACAGATGGCGTATGAACCTATTATTGGTCATCGACTATCATGGGACGTTGCTGCACTGCCATGTGGATCAGACCTTTAGGTCAAAGGTTCCGGTTGTAACCACCCAACAAAACCACCTTCTTCCGATTGGGCAACCGGACAGTATCCCAGCCCTCATATAAATCGAATGATTTATGTGGCGCATATCTATTTGGTGCCTTCTTGTACTTATGTTTATGTGTTCAAATAAATAAATAAGCGATGTTTTTGTGTGAAATAATTCGTCTACTAATAGTAGTATGTAAATAAATTCACAATAAAAAATCATACCATTATTATGTGTCAACAGTGTGTTTTCGATTTAAATCATCTATTTAGTACCTTTAATTATGTTTTTGTCTGGTCCAAAATTTTTTAAAGTGAATTGAATGTAATTTACTACTTATATGCTTATCAGTAGTTTATGCTGAATTGTAGCAATCCCCATATCTGCATAACTAAACATTTTTTTGTTTGTATGCATAATACATTTTAAATGTGATATACATATCTGTTGTTTGTTTGTTTTCTATTACTCTCTATATATCTTTATAGACAGAAATTGCTACCTAATTTGATACGATTATGTGAGAAAAACAATTACATTTTGTATTGTTCGAATTGGGAATGTATTCAACAAGGTTTGTACTTGTTTTTCTAATCATCAGCTCTTATAGTTAGAATATGGAATGAAATGTATCATTGATAAACGGTTATTTTAATCCGCTTAGTGAAGTTATATTCTTTGAATTGGATAGCTGAATTATAAGGCTCTGGTTTTTGTTTCTTCTAGATAACATCATATCAGCAATCTACACAATCGGTCAGTCAATTAGTCAGCTACAACGTAGAACTAGGCACCTACATGCATCGGTCCAAGTTGCCATACCTCATTAACACAGCAAAATGAACACTGGATTCATAGGAGTAGTTAAGTCAATGATGGTAATATATAAAAGAAAGATTACATATAAGGATATAGTACAGAAAGAAAGTCAGTCAGTCAGTAACAACGTAAAACTTCGTACGTACGTACATCAGTTCGAGTTGCCACACCACAGTAGCACAGAGATGCAATTATTGATTCAAATCCCATAGTGGTAGAAGTAATACAAATATATGCAGTAATTGGAAACATTAGGGTTTCAAGATGTTATTTAAAGAGTATAATCCAGTGAAATAAATTTGGAAAGAGAAAAAAAAGAGACAAGGAAGATTCAGGAGATTAGAATTTGGGAGAACACAAAGAGTGGATGCACCTGCGCCATTGCAAACGATTTTGATCCATGTCATTCAGCATCTCTAACCATCGATCGCTATCATCTAGCGGTCCGCAACCAGGTAGTCTACACCTACTAACATGGCTCAGTCCACTTGTCAGTGACTTCATGGATTTGTGCCATGTTTTGGTTTGGCCGCCCCTATGAAGTTTTACAACTTCATCAATTGATTTTTCATCCTTATTTAGTACCTGTTTCCTAACAACTGCATTACTTACTCAGTAGTCCCAAGATATACGAGCAATATTTCGAACACACCCATGATCAAATACTAGGTGGATATAGTACAGAAAGAAAGAATTAGTTCATAGAAAGAAACATATGAAGCTATTTTAATCTCATAGTTTAAGGGAAGACAGACAATATATACACCCACGCCGTTGTGATCGATTGTCAGCCATATCACCCACAGTCTCCAACCATTGGTTACGATAGTCATGCGGACCCCAACCAAGTAGTGTGCATCTATCAACATGGCTCAGACTAGAATTTATTGACTTCAAAGACTGATGCCACGTTTTGGTTTGACCGCCCCTAACATTAATCTACACAATCGACTAATAACTTATTCTATTGTCCTGAAATTTGATAACTGGCTGTTGTCTGGTTATTTATTTCACTTGTCTTACCCTATGGCTTGACCTTTGACCTTGTTGTTGTTTGTCGTTTTTCTCATTGGTTTATCGATTATTTCGATTCAGATATACACAACCAAGGTGCTGAATTTCCATTCTATGATAAAGATAACAACTGCTTCATTCTCAGTATTTCTGAACTTCATCATTAGATGACTTTTTCTGATTGATCTAACATTGAAATCAATTAGACTACATCTTTCATCTCATTGAGTTATGGTGTAAAATGTTGTTTTCAAATTTAACCATTTACTGTCAGAAATACTTCAAAAAACATATCGATTATTGTTTAATTTCCATTAAGAGGTTCAGTTACAAAGATGTATGTATGATTTACTTATCATTATTCATAAAACCTGTTAAGTGTGTTTTATTAGTATTTGTGAAGATGATAACAGTGGTAATAAGATATATGAATCATTTTCATATGTGTTTTGATTTTAAGCAGTAACCTTATTATCAGAAGGGGTTTTGTGGAGATTTTAGTAATTTCAATAGTTGAAATCATGAGTCAATTGAAGCTAGACCAGTAGGACGAAACGATCGTCCAGTGCTTCCAAGTTCTTCATGGTGGTCTAGCTTCAATTTACACATGATCAACTTTCGAAATCAATAAAATCTCCATAAAAATCCTTTTGATGATAATCATCTGCTCACTAGTGACTGACTTCAAGAGGCATTTCCTGTGAACCGATTGTACATTAGTATTAAACACTGAAGCTGGCGCTGTAACCTTGAAATCTCTAAAACGCCTCTGATTGTCTCGTCCATAAATTAGAGTCTCGCCATATTTTCCTGGTAAATTTCTATACACAACTTTCTGCATAGATTGAAATCTAGGAAAGTATATAGTGACAGTTTAATCACAAATATGGATAATGAAGTTTCAAAAGATTCGATTTATTGATGAAAAGACGAAATATTACTTGATAAATTATACTATAGACTAGATCACTTGATTTTATGATTTATTTTAACACATAGATATTGGTACAAGGAGGCACCAAATACATATGCGTCACATAGATTTCATTTGATATGTGTGAGGGCTGTGATACTGCCCGGGTGCCCCAACCGAAGTAGGTGGTTTTCTTAGGGGGCCACAAACGGATTTTTTGACCTAAACGTCTGATCCACAAGACAGTGGAGTAACGTAAGGAGATGCAGTTCCATGGTAGCCGGTGACCAACGATAGGTTTCTACGCCATTTGTTCATTCAGGATACTACAGCCTATGTACACCAACCCGGTTAAAGCGCCAGTCGTACGCTTTTCATCCTCTCAATTTTGTAAACAAAACCCCCGCCACGAGAAGGCAGGGAGTAGGACTGCCCTGGCAGAGGCTACATACGCGTGGCCATGTGAGAATATTTGGAGAGGGAGAGGTGACTCTCACCACTCTTGGCCGTACCAGGGCATTTGGGGGCCATAATATACACTCATCATCTATTACAATTCACTGAATAGAATTATTAGGAATAAAATTCAATACTTGTACAACTTCGGTTTATCGTAACAAAGTAAAGAAACTGATTCACATTAATTCATTTACCATTAGTTCTGTTATGTAGTTTAACGTCATTCAATCCAACTTGTTGTAATTTTCGATAATTCAACTGTCATATAGTTCAATGTTAGTTATCCTAATTAGTTGATATATGTTTCTATTTCACAGTAAATCTTATATCTTTTTGATATAGATCTTGTCAGTTGTTTCTTTCTAACTTAGAATTCCTTAATACTACATACCAACTATTCCACATACGAAACATCAATTTATCATTAAGATTGATTCATTTTAACTCAGATTGAAAGAAATAAAAAAAATTGTGGATCATAAGATGTCATGATCGTTTCCGGACGTGGAATCTCTATATTTTATACTTAAAACTAAGTTATCAGTCAGTTAGTTTTTGTTTGTAAAAGTTTTTATTTTACTGTAGTTGACACTAAGGACGAAAATTGATTAGGTTCTATTATTATATGTACATCTTGAGCTCATTAACCTGATATTACCATCTATTCAACGCTGGAATTTTGAAAGTAAATTTATCTGTAAAGTTAGAAATACGATGAAGTATACACATCCTGTACTCTACTATTAGGTACAATTCAAGTCAATTCGTTTCTCTAAAAATACTAAGAGCAAATCTAATTAGTATAATTTGTTTAAAAAGAAAATCTAATTAATAATCAATCACATCTTGTCTTCATTTCTCTCTGTAGTGCTTTTGACTTGATTTTATTGATCAAGTTTAAGTATTGTGATAATTAGTCTAAATAATTCGACAGGATCCATGTACTTTGACATATTTTAAATGGTAAGAGATAATGAATAAGAAAACTTCCAAATGTAGGTTCTTCATCTTAGTTGATATTTGTTAGCAAGAGACGCGGTATTAGGAGGTGTAGGAAGGATTTGAATGTGACCAACTTGGTCTCGTGTGGTGTTACGGGTATGAGGGCTAATGTCACTTCCCTGCTGCCCACACCGTGGAAGGGTATTTCTTGAGGAACCTGAAAAGGAAGTTGGATTATTGTTGGTCTTAACGACCTGGGTGCGTGACCGCAGAGCCCAAGGGACAACTGCTCGAGGCCGGTCGCACACGGCCTTTTCGTGAGAGGTTTTTAATGTGTTAGCTTCGTTCTTCAAAGGGCCTTACCGCCGGAGACGGAAATCCGTGAGATAAGGTGAGGTGTGAAATTTTTAGGGTCGACCTTTTCTAACCCCTTCCTTCCTTGTGAGAAGGCAGCATCGCTGCAGATGCTGGTTGTCTGAGGGAAACACCCTACTGCTGTCACACCCCTCTACAGTCAGCAGTACGACTTCTCCCTCAGACCTTGAGTTGCTGCTTTTAGTCTTATCGTTCTCCAATCGACCTGCCTGGTATGGTAGGACCTACAGGAACATATGTTCCAGTCAATATAGCTCCGTTGGGTCATCCCGATAGGCAAGCCCGACCACCGCGTCAAGGTAGCAGCTACGTTCGGGATCACATGTCAAAGTATATTTGTTTAATACAATTATTTTATTCTATTCAGTGAGAATATTTCCAATCAACTATTTTAATAGTTCAGATCATGAGTCAATTGAAGTTAGACCATCATGGAAAACCTGAAAGCAATCAATGGCTCTTTCGTCCTATTGTGAGACTTTTCAGCAGTGCGAATCCACGATCCCGCCTCACGAGATTCGGTTTCACGCGCTAACGCTTAACCTCTAGTCCACTGAGCTAGTCGGCATCCAAGTGTGTTAATGTCTAACTTCAATTAATCCACGAAATTGAGCGACACATCCATCATTATTTTCAGTAAGTTACTATCTCACAATAGACCCGGTTGAACTCCACTAATCACTGCTTCTTACTAGAACTATAGGGCAATACCTCTTGATGTTTCAATAACCTAAATTTAAGTTATTTAAAATAGGAAGAAACGCGCATCAAACTGGATTTCACTGCTAGCCACTATTCATCCTTGCTCATAAAGCTTGTGAAGTAAGGTAATATCGAGGCAATCCGCACAGGATGTACATATGTGAACAAGAGATTAATCAATTGCAGTCTTAAATAACAATGGGAAAATACAAGTAAACAACACCAAGTGAATAAAACAACAGTAAAGTCGAATATTTAAATCTGTAATTGTACGTTGAAAATGTATAAATTTACTTTATTTATTATTTTAGGCAACTCAATTAATCCATTGACAATGTATATCGTTCTATTTTCTGAATCGAAACCTTTGGATCAGCTCAAAGCTATGCTGCATGTAGAATTGATAACATTCATAGTAAAGGTTAGTGTTAGTCAATTATTTGTGATTATGTAGTTTATACTGGGGGTTTATCTTAATTAGCCTCCAAATGCCCTGGTATGGCCGAGAAATACTCTCACGCGGCCACGCGTATACAGCCTCTGCCACGGAAGTCCTACTCACTGCCTTCTTGCGGTATTACTGTTGTTTACGAAATTGAGAGGACGAAAACCGAATGTCCGATGCTTTAATCGGGTTGGTGGACATCAAGAGTCACCTCGGGGAATTGGAAAACTCTGACTCCAAACCAATGGTGCACATGGGCTCCAGGATCTTGAAGGAACAAAATGTCGTAGGAACCAATCGTTGGTCACTGGCTACCGTGAGACTGCATCTCCTTACGATTCTCCACTGCCTTGTGGATCAGACCTTCAGGTCAAAGGCTCCGGGGTGTACCCCCTACGAAAACCACCTGCTTCGGTTTGGGCACTCGGGCAGTATCACAGCCCACACAAGTGACTTGTGTGGCGCATACCTATTTGGTGCCTCATTGAACCAATATTTATTTGTTAAAATAAATAATATATATTGAAACCCCACTTTCACCTAATAAGCTGGACTCAGGCTGAATAATAGTACAGTAAGCATGATCAATATATAGTATAATAAAAATATATATATGGTAACTATCTTATAGTTTCGTTTGTTGCAAATGAGATGGCTATTTTCTTGTATATAATTTGCTTAGTTGAATATGATGTTTGTCTACATTTCTATCAAGTTCAAACATGTTTTGAATGTTTACGTATGAATTGGTTATCCTATTGTTATATTGGAAACTGTTTTATATTGTATAATGTCTTGGCTTATAACTTTTATAGATGAAAGATATTGCAATTTTGATTTTACATTTATTTATTTCAATACTTAAACATTGGTACAAGAAGGTACCAAATAGACATGCGTCACACAAATTATTCGACTTGTATGAAGGCTGGGATACTTGCCCGGATGGCCAAATTGAAACAGGTAGTTTTTTGGGGAGAGGGCACACCCCGAGCCTTTTACCTACAGGTCTAGTCCATAACGTAGTGGAGGAACTTTAGAAGATGCAGTTCCGTGGTAGTCAGTGACCAACGATGGGTTGATATGTCATTTGTTCTCTCAGCGTCCTGGAGCTTATGTCGATCATTGGTTTGGAGTTAGAGTTTTCTAACTCCGCTAGGTGGATTATCCGTACCCACTAACCTATGTTAATCACCGGATATTCGTTTTTGGTCCTCTCAATCTCGTAAACAACACTGCGACCACGAGAAGGTAGTGAGTAGGACCTCCCTAGTAGTGGATATATACGCGTGGCCATGTGAGAGCATCTGGAGACGGTGAGATGACTCTCTCCACCCTCAGTCATACAAAGGCATTTGATTTTACAAATCAACTTTTTACTATAAAGTAGTTCAAATCAACATACTTCTATGGGACTTGTTATGTATCGAGTCTCGAACTGGGACATAACAGATTAATCAAATTTTTTGATTGAGATCATGAACCGATTGATGTTAGACCAGCACTGAAAACCAGGAAGCATTAGACGGCCGTTTCATCCTATTGTGGGACTCCTCAGTGGCAGTGCGCATCCACGACCCCCTCGTGGGATTCGAACCCAGGGCCTTCAGTCTCGCGCGCGAACACTTAACCTACTGGTGGTCTAACATCAATTTGTTCATGATCTCAATCAAAAACTTAATAATTTCGACAACCTCTATACTGATAATTATCATGTGTTCAATAGTGACTAGCTTCGTGAGGGAATTCTTGGAGTTATAGTGAGAAGCCGTGACCAGTGAAGCTAATACTTGTCAGGTAGAGACAGTTATCTACCTCAGTACAACGGAAGATGGTCGTGCTATTTCGTGGATTGGTTGAAGTTAGACATTAACATCATTAGATGCCGGCTCAATGGTCCAGTAGATTAAGCGTTCGCGCGTGAGACTGAAGGCCCTCGGTTATAATCCTGTGAGCGCGATCGTGGATGTGCACTTCCACTGAAGAGTGCCACAATAGGACGAAACGGCCGTCCATTACTTCCAGGTTTCCAACGGTGATCTAACATCAATCACTTCATAATCTCAATAAAAAAAACTTAATAATTTCCACAACCCCTACTATACTGATGAAGATTAATTAAAGGTAATTCCTGTCAATGATCATCATCTATATGCTAGATGTGTTCTTTTTGAATAATTTTTTTGTTGTTCTTGTTGCTATGTAGTATCCCTTGAAAACAATATTACCTCATAAAATATTGGAAGAAATAATTCAAGCAAAAGATTGTAAGTGATTTATATATGTATAAGTATCAATAAGTATATATATACTATGCATTTTGTTTACTATTAAACTTAATTTAAATTAAGATATTTTAGACTAGATTTTGTATTGAATACAATATTGCCATAGCAACTAATATTCTATTTAACCTTATGTTAACTTGAAAGAGACATAGAAATATCGTAGCTGTAAAAAATTAGCATGATTATAATTGGCACTGAATGACATTGTACTTACACTCTGTGATTAAAGATGTCACGATTACTCAGAGTTTGATAACACTTTTTTTTGTTATAACTTGTGGTCTTGTACCCTATTCATATATATATATATATATATATATATATATATATATATATATATATATATATATATATATATATATGACGTAATGATACAGCTAATTAGAGAACCGTGACTTATCGACCGGATCAATGATGCTGAAATCCGTATGAGCAGTTTAGATTCCTTATCGATTCTTCTTCTAACCTAGCTCTGTCTATCAAATCCAGAACATCAATCTCAGCCTCCGTGATATAAATGATGTATTTCAAACATACTGGGTTTATATATAAAGGATATAGACGACATCGTACCGTAAAATAAAACACAACACTTGTACAAGATTCAACCAAATGTGGCTATGAATGTGGGAGGTAGTAATTAATAGACTGGATATAACTCAAGAACGGTAAATCGTATAATAATAGTCTATGGATCAAAATAAAGCTTATAATAAGAGGAACTTGAATAGGCATAGTTTAGCTACTTAATAATTATACAATACAAATATATGTATCGTATTGGCCCATAAATAGTTCTCAAAAGTTACCATTCATTATACTTAACGGGATATAACACTTTTGTGCGTAATACTATAATTGAAGGATGCCAAATCCAGTCAAACCAAAAGTTAGAAGTGAAAGAATTCCAAGAAATATTTGGAAGGCATTCAGTATGTCGAGAAGTGTTGTAAGAGGATGCATAGTATGGTGTACCCAGTGATGATCTGATAGGGATGCGCGACCGAGCGTCTTCAGCTGATGAGGTCAGTATACATGTCGAAGACATACAGAATTATTTATTTACCGCTATATGACCACAAAGTTCTAAGTTTGGTCTCTTATGTACATGTGTGTAGAGTCATAGATGAACTTTGACTTCTTATTACTTATTCATCTGCTTTTAATTTAATGAACAAAAATTATATTGATTAGTCAGAAGTTCTTAATTCATTAGCTTACAGTGAGTAAAGTGAACTACGAAAATTTATATCCCCTAATCTCTTCTTTATATAAATGAAGTTTAATCATATTTGTGTTTATTATAAATAAATAACTTGATCTATAGAGTCCGATCAATACTAAACAGAAGTTGACATGATATTGATTACCAATCAGTGATCAGTTCATTATTTATTTATTTAGTTTAACACATAGATATTGGCACAAGGAGGCACCAAATACATATGCGCCACACAGACCTCATTTGATATGTGTGAGGGCTGTGGTACTGCCCATGTGCCCAAACCGAAGCAAGTGGTTTTCTTAGTGGGCCACATATGGAGCCTTCGACCTAAAGGTGTAATCCACAAGGCAGTGGAGCAACGCGAGGAGATGCGATCCCATGATAGCCGGTGACCAACTACCGGTTCATACGCCATTTGTTCCTTCAAGATCCTGGAATCCATTTCCACTAACCCGGTTAAAGCGCCGGACATCCGCTTTTCGTCCTCTCAATTTCGTAAACAACACCTCCGCCACGAGAAGGTAGTGAATAGAACTTGCCTGGCAGAGGCTATATACGCGTGGCCATGTGAGAACATTTGGAGAGGGAGAGGTGACTCTCCCCACTATCGGGTGTACTAGGGCATTTGGGGGCTAGTTCATTGTAAATAAGTACGTTAATTGACTAGAGAAGAAAAACTTATTCTTAACGGTTGGTTTATTAGTAGGTTGTAACCAATATCATGTATGTCAAGTGTTTTTTGAATGTTGATCGAATTTTGTTGATCAATTTGCAATGTGGCCACTAAGCTTAGTGACTGGACATCGCGTGCACCACATTGACATGTCAGTTGTTGATTACAAATAGTCGACAGGATACTATAGAGCTAGTGACACGGAATTAAATAATCTAGGGAGCATTGTCTTTCCTAAGATTACAGTTACATCTCACTGACGAGTACCAAATAATACTAAGTCTATGTTTGAAGTTTCCTGTTGACTACCTCCAGCTATTACCTTAAAATTTAATCTTGTGACTAATTGTCTTATTTTTTGATGTTACGAAATGACTCACGTTGTCAATTCAATCTCATCATCATCATGCTACAAACAGATTGGATTTCCAGTTAGTTAATAAGGGTTTAATGATAAACATTCTATATACTTTCATTATAAACTTTTGAAATAATGATATGAACAATACAATTAATCAAAAGTATTAAATCTAAGGAGAGAAATTCTATATCATGGTTGAGATTTATGTATATTTGTATGCGAATATCTAGATTACGTTTGTAAAAACGTGATTACATAATTTGTTGGCACATATGCATAAAAGATAGAATTGAATCAACCAGAGATCTTAACAAGGAACAGTTAAACCGATGAATAATCTCCTTATTGAAGTGAAACAACTATATTCACCGATCAATCTATCAGTCAGTCAATCAGCTACAACGTAGGATTAGGCATCGGTCCAAGTTTCTACATCCCATTAGAACAATAAAATGAACACCGTATACATAAAAGTAGTCACTTCAATAGTAATAACGTTTAAAGACAAGATTGTAAATGTTACGTCATTGTGATTGATTCTTAGCCATGTCACCAAAAGTCTCCAACCAATCGTTACGATAGTCACGTGTACCTTAACCAAGTAGTCTGCAGTTACCAACATGGCTCGGATTGGAAGTTAGTGACTTCAAGCACTGATGTCATGTTTTAGTTTGTTAATCGATGTTATATTCTCTAATCCTTCTTAGATTGAGGTCTAATTTCTATTCTTCTCTGTTATCTTTATATCTATTTTGTATGCAATTGATAGATTATGAATTTTTACAATCCACTATAAATCTTGTCAATCAATTATGGAATCCATTCATGAATTCATTACAATCTAATCATGATTGGAATTTAGATTCATTTCAATTTGCATCAGATGTATGGAGATTAAATCGAAATGAATAATATATCAATTTGATGAATAGTTCAACTATTGTAATCTGTATATTTTCTAATTAAATGTTTCTTATTTGTAATAAATGTTTTGATATGAACTTGAATTATTTTTATAACTTAGGATGAACCAACTAATCAGGTAATAAGATAAGAGGTCTTGGATTTTGGCACAAAATTCACTCACCCATTTGGCTAAATAACTCCGCCTGTAGCTCTTTTAGAGTTACTGCCATTCTCAAGCCCGGGTAAAAGAAGAGGGTTGGGCAAGGGTTTAGCAATCCCATCCCGTAGAAAACTAACTCGCTAGAAAAACGCTAACCAGGATTTGGCCAAATAGCGTCTTGGCATTATAGTTTATGTCAGTTCGTAATGAAAACCCTGAAATCTAATTCTTAGCCTTTATCATCAACTGTAAATGATAATTCGAATTCCTCAAACAGATTGATAACCCTCATTTGACACTCTCAAGGTCATCTTGACGTCAATTAAAGATCATCCATAAATTATAGTCTCACCTTTGAGATGAATTTATTATAACTGGTCATGTAGAGTATCAAGCATTTCTAGCCATACGTACAGTATGCTAAATTATCTAGTTCTATTTAATGGTGTTACGAGGCTTGACATATTCGGCGACAAAGCTTGAATATTAGTTCATACTCTTTGAAACTTGTTGAATACAGGGCTTCTTGCCACTTGCGTTCATCTTAAAGAAAATCGCTGTATACCTAGTCACTTAAAACGACAATATCAATCACATAAGTGAGAGTTTTATGTAAGTACATTGATATTTTAAGGACGATTCGGGGAGTAATTGGTTATGTAGACATATGGGAATATTTCAATTCATTTGTAGATCAGAATTGAATTGTCACAAAGTAATTACTTCCACGCTTCCAAATGGCCTGGTACAAGCGAGAGTGAGCTCTCCTCCAAATGCTCTAACATGACCACGCGTATGCAGCCACTACCAGGGAAGTCCTACTCACTGCCTTTTCGCGGTATTACTGTTGTTTACGAAATTGAGAGGATGAAAAGCGAATGTCCGGTGCTTCAACCGTATTCGTTGATATGGCAGATCGACCTAGAGAAGTTGGAAAACCCTGATTCAAAACCAATGGTATACATGGGCTCCAGGATCTTGAAAGAACAAATGGCGTATGAACCAATCGTTGGTCAATGGCTACAGTGAGACTGCATCTCCTTACGTTGCTCCACTGCCTTGTGGATCAGACTTTTAGGCCAAAGGCTCGGGGTGTGACCCCCTGAGAAAATCACCTGCTTCGGTTTGGGCACCCAGGCAGTATCCCAGCCCTCACACCAATCAAGTGGTTTATGTGGCCTCCTTGTTCAAATATTTTTGTGTTTAAATAAATTACTTCCCCATATCTGCATGGACTTAATTGACGATTGTACATATAATTTACCAGTTAATCGAAACAGTTGTTAGGTAAAGTTTCAAATGTATGCAGTTATATTCCGACTTTCACTCACTAAGTCTCAGGTTCGAACCTTTCCATATCTATTTTGGTTTGCACAACTGGGCAACAGCATCTACCTTCACAGAGTTTGGCTCATACCCAAGTACCGGGTAAATGAATTAACTCAATTAAAAATGTATATTCCGACTAAATAGTTTAAAAGTATCACAAATATCGCGAGAGTTGAGTTCAATTCTGTGAAAGGCCGTAGGAATTAACTGTTAAGGGTAGCATACTATTTCATTATCAGTGATGATTGATGTACTAACCGATACAAATGTATATCGACTCAAATTCTTATAAAACAAGGTGATGAAACTGATGGGATGAATAGAAAGATTCAAAATGATTATTATTTTTAGTATGTTGGATAGCTGTTAAATACAATACGTTCATCAGATAGGTATCGATGCAATCCGCTCAGGACGAATATATGTCAAAAGATAGTGGCCGGATACATATCTCAGATTCTACATAACTTTTAACAGATTGAATTAATACGGTATTAGTTAGTTATGAAGATTATCTATCAAATATTGGCTATACTTTATGTTGTCGGTTTCATCTGAATAAAGGCAACTTGTTTGTACTGTATTCAAGAATCATTTAATCACATGATAGAACAACTTTCTAATTGTTGATACTAAGCATGAACCCTTTACATATCTGGATAGCATCATTGATGAACACGGTGATTCTGATGCAGGTGTGAAGGCGCGAATCAGCAAAGCAAGAACAGCATATCTCCAATTGAAGAACATCTGCAACTCAAAACAACTGTCTGTCAACCAACTCCAAGGTCAGAATTTAAGATCCAAATATCAAGACAATTCTACTGTATGGGGCGTAAACTTGGAGAACCACGAAAGTCATCATCCAGAAGATACAAGCGTTTATTTACAATTGTCTACGCAAAATACTTCGGATCCGTTAGCCAGACACTATCAGCAACAACCTACTATGGAAGAGAATATGTCAGATTCCACAGGAGGAAGTGGACAGGATGCACATTGAGGAAAGCACCCAACTGCATCACAAGATAAGCCTTCAAATAGAGTCCTCAAGGTCAAAGCAAAAGAGGAAGACCGAAGAACACATTACGTCGGGAAATGGAGACAAACATGAGAAGAATGAACAACAATTTGTTAGAGCTGGAAAGGATGGCCCATGACAGAGTGGGTTGGAGAATGCTGGTCGACAGCCTGTGCTCAAATGGGAGAAAAAGGCGTAAGTAATTATAAAAGGTCCCAAAAACTGATCCTTATCGTAATGATCATGGAAATTCCTTAAATCCATTAGTGTAATCTTCAGAACAGTGTAGGATGTAATTAAAAGTTCTTAGATAAATTGGTGGCGACTTTACAAGTTCTATCAATCGGTCAACGACATTTAATTTGATTTGAGTAATCAAAGATTAATTACACTAGCCGTGATAAATGTGACTCCGAACAGAGTACTTAGTGAATGAGTTATTTCAAATAGTGTATAATAAATTTCACCAAAAACGATTCAAACAACTTATGTAGCTAAGTGGATAACGCGATGGCGTTTAAAGCGAATGGTACTGGGTTTGAGTCCCAGAATGAGCATCAACTCTAAGATGCAGGTACACCCAGCTGATAAGTCCCAAATAGAAAAAAACGCGCATCAAACTGGATTCAACTGTTAGCCACTATCCATCATTGCTTACAAAAAGCTTGTACATTAAGGCAATATCGAGGCAATCCGCACAGCATGAACATATGCCAATAAGAGACTGATCAATTGCAGTCTTAAACATCAATGGGAAAATTCAAGTAAAAACAATAACAAGTGAATTTAACTTATGTGTATATTCAGAGTTGATGTTAGCTATGTAGATCTTTGACAACAACAGTTAACTTCATCACATAAAAAAATAGCTCTTTTTCTATACCAAGTCAGAAGACTGTTTTACCTCTCTACAACACACACTTATTATACTGTGGTATTTATATGAATGAATGATTCCTTTGTAATAGATTATCCGCTTATAATGTATTCCAAATATGATACGTTCGTTTGTGTTCATCTAATTTTGTCTGGCTTCAATTACACTGTTTCGGGTATTCCTAGTTAGTACAATAACTTGAGTACTTTTACTCATCATATATACAGTTTTATAATAGTTTTCTAATATTGCTGTATTATGGGTTTCATTCTCTAAATCGGTATGCAGATGTATGTAATACATAATGCGTATCAGATGACGACATAGTTTAAACTGTGTTTTTCTTTTTCTGTTATAATTCAATGATTGTTAAGAAGCAACAAACATTCTTAGAAGACTTTACTTACAATCGCAAAGGAAAAACAATATACCAAATGACTGAAATATAAACAGTTTCATCGCGGTCACCATAGTTATTTCCAGTCTGTTAACCGTAGTAAAATAATTCTTATTTTACATGCAGATTTTTGGCTACGACATAAGAGTATTCCAAATGAATTTTTCAATTATTTTCGGGATTGAAGAATTTTGATAGAGTTTTGTTCTCTGAGCTGGATAGTTTGGTCGTTGAGCTTTCATCGTTCTTCTGAACAAACACTTGACTTCTACATGAAGTTTGTGCTGATGTCGTTACACCGTTAGATTTGGCAAACTTTTTAGGTAAATCTTGGGCAACAAGTTTTTTCCTTTCCACGGATATAGGACCGCGACCCTACTGGCGAAGATAAAGATCATGCTCCGTTATCACCCTTTTCATTTTTGAGACTAATCCATGGTAACAAGTCACGATTGTTGCAGTAGTCATCAGAGCAACAGCTTGAAGTTAGTGCTAGTCTGAAATGACTTATCAAGAGCAATGGCTTCGCCTTTGGTAGTCATTAGGATTATTTCATTGTCGACATTGATGTTGTCGTAACGGAGTACACCAGGTAACACAAATTTCGCACCGAAGCGAATAGCGCACACTTAATCTACACATGCTTCTATACGTAAAGCGACTTACGGCAGTATCTTTAAGCATAATTCGTTTGTGCTTGATTAGCAGCTTTTCAAGAGGCATAATAACGCGACGCAAGTAGGTCTCATCTCGCCTATTGTCATAAAGCTACTTAGCATCTTATATGTCATGCATCGTAACCAGGTTGTCCTGCAATATGAAGGACTTTGATTAAACATACCCTTTCATACATAAAACCAGTTTTTAACCGCCTAAGTTCCTCCATGACACCTCCACAACCCAGAAGGAAGCCCGAATGCACGCAAAGCGTCCGAATATATGTTCCAGCCTCACAGAGCACCACTATTAACCCTTAATTTAGTGTTGCACGATTACAAGACTTACCCAAATTTTTACCCTTTTCATACTCTAACAGTTTACACTCTTATATGTCTCTACTATGTGAATTGGGGATTATTAATTATTTGACTGAAAAACTATTAGACTTTAGAATGAAAATTACACTGTATCATATACTATCTATCCTGTAAGTCATCGAAAAAAATTACCGTAAGATCTAGGTGCAACCCAATTTTATTAATTTAATAGGTGAATTCATGAATCAATTGAAACTAGACCACTATGGAAAACCTAGAAGCACTGAACGGTCATTTCTTCCTAGTATGGAACTTCTCAGCAGTAAGCATCCAC